GGGCATTCTTTTCCTTTTTGAGACCAAATTCCTAAGATCCTCAAATTTCTCGGATCACCAGGGCCAGCGTGCATGCAGTGTGTGGAGTCAGTCTCTTTCCTGGTGCGGGGAAGTCTGGAGGGTTTTGAGCAGAGGGGTGGCATGGTCAGATAACACTGGCAGTGTGGAGGGCATAGCAGAGGGCAGGATCTTGGGAGAAGCTGATGCTCTGGTCCAGACTAGGACCAGAACTGGACCAGAACAATGGGAAGTAAAGAATGGATGCAAGATGAATAATGGAGGAAGATGTTTTGTGCAATGAAACTGGGATGAGAGGAAGGAGAAATAGGGAACTTAGCATCTGGCTGTTACTGCTCTGTTTTCCCCAGAAAAGCCTGGGCCATCTTAGGCTGCCAGGGAAATGGCCCAACTGCTTTGTCTAGCCAGCCAGAGCCACAGGCTTCCCAGAAAGCTCTCTTGCGCCATGTGGTAGATGGTGTCTCCATGCTGCCATTGTCTGGGAGAATCTCACCCACTCTCAGATGAATCATGGGTTTTGCACTCTGAGGAACTCTGTCCCCGGGACTCTGCCCCGGGGACTCTGACCCATGGGACTCTCCTGCTGCTCACACTGCCCTCAGCCTCCCTGTTTCTGATTATGTTATACTGCCAGGCTCAGGGTAGGTCTTCCATGACTCAGGCCCAGGATTTCCACCACTTCCTTTGCTGGAGAAGTAGGTTTTGGGTTACTCTGTCTTATTGTATTGCTCCCAATTGTTGTACCTCAGATGGCCCTTAAAGAGCCTCTTTCCCCAGACTCCAGGGGAAGCTTAATAAACTCACAACAACATGGCAGGAAGACGTTATGTGACCTGGAGCTCAGCAACCCAATTACCAACATTTTTATTTGCATTAATTAATTAATTAAACCAACATTTTTGGAAGTCAATTATTCACAAACTTCTTTAGTATTAGTTGCTCACTAAAAAAGGAAAGGTGTCCACAGGGGCCTGATTAACTTCTCGTGGTCAGAGGGCCGTAGAAGGGCTAGGCTGCCTTAACAAAGGCAAAGAGGCAACTGGAGGCAGTCTCAGAGCTATGTTCCCTCGGTTCTTTCATTTGCGGGTGCCAGTGTCACAGGGGGTCCAGACCCTGATAAGAATTTAAGTGGATGGAGACACCAGGAGAGAGCAGTTGTGCCCCGGGCCCACACGCGGTAGTCATTTACAGCTCCAGTCAGCCGCAATGGTGATCCTCAGGGTCATTTCCATGAATTGTAGTAAATTTCCTATTAGTGAAGAATTTAACCAAATCTAGAACAGTGAGTGGTTGTGACGCTTGTGTCTGGGACAGGTACATAAAGAGACTGCTTCTCTAAAGTGGCCTGGGCGTGGTGGGGAGGAAAGGAGAAGCCTGGTCAGAAACAAAGATGGCGCTGGCGGAAAGGGAACTGGCAGGCCCGCGCTCGAGCGCAGGGAGAAGAACCGGGGAGGGATCACAGAGAACCGATGGGTGGCTTTAAGTCTCTTACTTCCATTTTTATTAACAGTCACTTCTCTAGAGTCAACGTCCGTGCCTCCTCTATTGTCCTGTTTCCCACTCAGCCCCATGGAGCCTTATCCATGCCTGTTGCAAGCATGTTGGGTTGGTGAGGGTGAGCGGGGAGATCTCACTCTGCTTACTGGGGTGGGTGGAGAAATGTGTTGCTGGAACCCCTCAGAATACAGTCAGTGAATATCCTACCCTTTAAGGGCAGTGTGAGTCGACTGGCTCTGGTGGCCTGGGTCTGAGAATCTAAGCACCATGAATAACGCTATTGTTAAGGGAGTTCCCAACAATCATCTGACAAATTTAGGGGCTGCCTGGTGCACTAAATGCTCAGAGAGAGGCAGGCATTGCACCCAAGAACTCAGAATTGCAATGCAGTTATTGTCTACTTCTGGGTTCCAGCTATCTAGCTATGTTTAGTGGTGTGCTTTCCATTGGAGACAGCCATCCATAGCATTTTAGGGAATCAATGATTGTTTTAGTGAAGCATGCTGCCAGGAAAGAAAGTTGTAGCAACCAATACTTCCAATGATATAAATGCTCAGAAATGCTGTCTTTTCAGTGCTTTTGTATGAAGCAAGATATATACTGGGGTGGGAAATGAGTCTCCCTGCAACCTACACTGCAAGTGATGGGTGGGTGGAAGTCAAGAGAATGGGATCTGCTGCTGTTTAAACCCCTTCTTCTCTGCTGTTTGTTAGATTCCCAGACATTCACTCATTAGGTCCATAAGGATGGTAAATGGTGTCTCTGCTGGTGGCCATAGTATAGGGACTGAATAGCTGGGGATGATCCAGGCCAGGAATTTAAGAATATAGTTCACTCTGTTTCCGTATATGTTGGAAGGGCCGCTGAAAACAATGGAAGCCCCTCTTTGCTGACAATGGATGACACTGTAGGTATTATGTGATACTCCAGCTAAACAGCCCCTAACTCTGGCTGTCTCCAGCAGCCAGAAACAGAGAGAATTGCTGCTAAGAATACTTGCTGTATTCCAAGACATTGTGCTCCTTTCCTTGCTTGGTGAAGGGATGTGGTACAATCATGGAAATCAGAGATGAAAGAGAGTTGCTTCTTTACTTGATTCCCAACCCCTGCCCCCACCACTCCTCCTGCCTGTGCTGGGCAGGGGACAAGGATCAATGATCAGTGGGGCTTTGGTGTGGATCAGAAGTGAGATATGCAGGCCAGGAACTCCAGTGCCCCGGGGGTGCGTGGATGGGCCGAGGTGGGGGTGCAGGGAGGGGAGAGGGTCTTTGGAACACACTAATGTTTAAGGCATCAAAATGGAGAGTGTGAGCAGGTGCGAATTAGGCTGACCCAGGAGACAGAAAGTGCTGTGAGGTCCCCAGAGCCATGTAAGGCTGTGAAGAATGAACTTTCTCTTCTTTGCTCCTGAGGGTGTGTTCTTAGTGGTCTCACCACTCGAGCAGCAAGGATTAGTCATGATGGCAATTTCTAAGAGGACTGACTTGATTTTAGACACACACCCTTGTGAACTGGTTGGCAGACATCCTATTACTCACACTTAACATGGGGCAGCCTCGTGAGGGCTGGCAACAGCTCTTCAGTTTCATATAATAGCAATAGTAATACTAATAACCACAAGCAAAGCAACCCCCTTAGTACCTGCCACATGCCAGGCGCCAGGCAAGGAGTTTCACATATGTGATCCAATGTAACCCTCGTATTTCCCTCTGCAATTGGTGTTGCCATCTCCCACTTCATATAGGAGGAAACTAAGGCCAAAAGTCAAAAACTTTATATGATTCCAACTCAACCTCTGTCTAACTCCAAAACCTCTTTCACGGTGCATTAAAGTCAAGCAGAAAATTGTGGAAGTGTGCAAGAAACTGGGAAAAGCAAAAATGAATTTGAACGTGGGGCGAATATTCATAACAGACATGAAAGCTCCAAGTTCTCCCCTGGGGTGGCAGGAGAAACTGCATCACTTGTGTCACTCACAGTGACATTGGACAAATTCCTACAAAATGGATTGGGAAGGTGGGTGGGGCTCGTTGGAGGGGATGGTGGGGTGGGGGGCAGAAGTGGGAGCCAGTATCTGTCTCTCACTCCTGGCCTGTAAAGAGCAAGGCACTGTAGTGTTTCCTGAGCAGAGACAAAAGGCCCCTGAAGTGTTGGCAGGAGAGTATTAGTGCTTTCCAGCCAATACCTGGTACAATAGGAAAGTGGCTTGAGCACACTTGAAACTTCAATTAAATAAGGTGGAGTGAGAGAGAGAAGTGGGCAGTGGGACGATGGCAGGAAGTGCAGAGCCATCTCCTGCCTGGGTGGGGACATCCCAGGTTCCCCCTGCCTAGGGTGTGAAGGAGCCAATCAGCCAGAGCCCTTTGCTTTGAAGTCCCTGGGAGCCTGCACTACTTGTGACTGCCTTGGGCATGACCATGCACTCCTGCAGCTGACAAAAATCAGAATAGTCTCCCATGTGCCTCCTCCCCACTTCCTTTACTTTCTGGGTTTTGTGATCAATGGGCTCTTCTTTCTTACACTGCTGAGATTCTGGCTGACCGCTCTTGTTTATCCATGTATATCTTTAATCTCTATTAGTTCCCAATTCTCCCACCATGTGATTTATGCACTTGCCTATCTTCTGTCCTGAGTCATCATGAAGGACTGGAATTTGTGTAAATGTCATGCACAAATAGAAGGCATATTTGGTGGTATCCCAAGCTGCATATTTCTAAAGCCCCCACAACTGTCATGTTGAGTCATAGGAAATATAACAGACTCCCAGACCAATAGCAGATTCCCTACCGTGGGGCAAACACAGCCCAAAGGCCCAGGTACAGTAATACAAGTCTGAAACAGTCAATGAGTAGGCAATCAGACCATTAAACTGTAATTAGGTTGTTACAATTATTGAATACCAAACAGCATTATAATAATAGAAAATGTGGCTCTCACATTTTATATCTCACCTGGGATCAAATTAGTAGCATATTCAGTCTGTGGGATTGAGCAATAGCTGCTGTTCTGTGGAAGGCAACCATCTCTGTTACAATTGCTGGATGAGCAGTGAGACAGAGGCAGGGACACTCCCCAGCGGGAAATGGAAATTTACATGACATCGTTGCACTGGAAATTAGAGTTGTCCAAAGCCCTTTTAAAAAACTCAAGTCCTAGTTTTGGCCTCTAAAACACAAACGAAATAAAATACTAACAGTTATCATAAAATGTTCTCTTTTTTTGAAACAGGCTATATTAGAGAGATGGATTTATAAATACCTGAGATACAGAATTATGTTTATATTTAGGTACATGAAAATAGACAAATAGGCACTTAGGAAACCAAGCTAACTAAATGTTTTTTAGAAATGTACGATAAAATTGCGGTGCTTTTTATTGCAACTTCAGATTTTAGCAGATAGTCCATATGTGTGAGAAAGCTGAATTATCTTCTTGAATCTGATTGTAACCTTTTGTTTTCTATTTGTTTTCTCCTTTCTTCTCAGGACTCTGCACTTGCCAAATCATCAAAAAGCCAAGATGTTGGTATTACTGGCTGGCATTTTTGTGGTCCACATCGCCACTGTCATTATGCTATTTGTTTCCACCATTGCCAATGTGAGTAGTGTTCTTTTGTTCATTCATTCAGGAGTTTAAGCCGCAATCCCTGCCCTTCATGAATTTTCAGCTTAGTTGTGAAAGAAAACACACACTCGCACTTCAAACAACTCAGTAAGAGGAGGATAAAAGTCAGTGTCTGCCTGAAGGCAGTGTCTAGACTGACTCTAGAGGCTGGAGAACTCAGTGAGGCTTCTTCTGTGTCCACAGGAGTCTGGTCAGCTGAGGTGGAGCTTGCAGGACTGGTAATTGGCTGGGCTTTCTCTTGGCATAAGATGAACAGGGGAAGGAGCACAGGGCTGCATTCTAGGCAGAAGTGCTAGCCAAGGGGCCCAGGTAGGAGGGACAGGCTTTGCTCAGGGCATAACTCAGGCACCCAGGTGTCAGGAGCAGAACTTCCCCTCCTTCTGGGAGCCTCGATTAGAAGCAGAGATGGGAGTGAGATGATGAGAAGCTTTGGTCGCCAGACTGACGGATTCAGGTTCTGAGCAGAGAGTAGTAGAGTGTGAAAGTGGAATTTTGCAAGATTATCACTCACTCAAAACAATGTAAAAATAGTGAGGTAGCAAGTCCCTTCTCTCTGAACCTTGGGCTTTTCTGCCCCCTAGTGGTAGTTCATAGCTTCCAATTTGCTTTTCTCGTGCTTTTCTCAGGAAAAACAAGACAGCTCTTTGGACACAAGAACCAAAGCCACCAATCACTAGACAGGCAAATGATGGTTCCAGAATCTGTTTAGGTTCCTGTTACGGTTAAAGGATTTTAAAGGACTTAAAAACCCCATTTTAAATGTAAAAAATTTGTAAAACCCATTTTAATGGGTTTTAAAGTTCAGATAGCTGAGTTTGGCCAACATTGGTGGGTGTGATTACAAGCAAGGCTAATGTAAGCACAGCAGTGATGAGATGGAACCCTTGCCCTCACAGCCTCCTCCAAACTGTCATTCATCTGTTCTGTATGACAGTCCCTGAGCCTCTCAGGGTAATAGGTCTGATAAATGACTGCCAACTATATCAGTGGATGCCAAAATGCTGAATATTGAATCACGAGCAGGCAATTGCATGTCCTTGACATTACCTTTCATGTAACATGCATTTTTACAGACACTCTGTGTGGAGAGTTAGATGTTTGTTTTCCATTCCAGAAAGATAACTGCTATTCTTGGGTCCAGTAAGAGGGGGAGCTGGCACTGTGGTGAGCCTCAGGGACTATATTCTGGACACTTTTCCAATTCCAGCTGACCCCATAGTAAAGCTCTTGCTGCACTGTTTGGCTATGGAATTGCTTTGCATGTTGTGACAATTAAAATTTGATCTTCCTGTTTAAGTGAAAGTGGCGTATTAACTATGCAGACTCATTGGTGTTTTCTTAGTTACCCTTGTGTTTCTTAGTTGTCTCCAGTTGAACATTTTTCCTTACTTTTTTTTCTTTTTAGCTAGGCCCTTACCTGACTCACTCTTGACAGAGTGTATGAGCTTTGTATGAATTGTGCATTCTTAAAACCAATTTCCCCATCCAGGGTTTCCATTTCTTAGAACCTTAGAATTTTGAACCACTGTGGTTAAATTATTTCCTGTTTTTCTTTTCTTTTAACCTGATGAGAAATGTGAAGCCCAGAGAGGCTAGGTAATTTTTCCCTTGGTCACATTTTCTTCTTTCTTTTCTCTTGGGAACTTCGCAATTTCAGTTTTAGGCAAATCTTATTTCCATCAAGAGATGGGTTGTGTAGCCATATTTTTGGCTAAATACGGTGACTTGCTTAAGATTTGGTCCAGGCACAAGCTGATTTGGTATTTAAAGAAGAGGGTTGGTTTTTAAATCCAACTTTTGTTTTCCTCCTGGTTTCAGGTCTGGGTGGTTTCAGATACGACAAAAGCATCAGTAGGCCTTTGGAAAAACTGTACCGAAGGTAACTGCGAGGGAGCCCTGGCGTACGCCCATGAAGGTATCTATAAAGATGTTGTATTCGGAGCTGACCAATCAGGTGAGCCTGAGAACCATCCAGCCTGTCTGGACTGGCCAGCCTAACCCCTTGCTCCCTCGCCCTGTGCCCACAGATGCGCTCAAGGCAGTGCAGGCCTTCATGATCCTTTCCATCATCTTCTCGGTCATCTCCCTCGTGGTCTTCGTGTTCCAGCTTTTCACCATGGAGAAGGGAAACCGCTTCTTCCTCTCGGGTGCCACCATGCTAGTGTGCTGTGAGTACCTGAGGCCCAGCTTCCAGCTTACCCAAGCAAAACTTTACAGTAAACCTTACCATGGATGCTCCTGGCAACTTGAACAGATGAGCACGTGGCTCTGGTTAATTTGTCTTCTTTTTGAGGACCCCTGATAGATGCTTGGAATAAGAACCCTCACTGCTTCCCTTTTTAAGTCTAGTACTCTGAGGCCGCTTCCGAGTGGCGGGCCGCCCACCAGTAGCACTTGTGGGCAAGATGCTTGAAGAGGGCTGACAGGTGGGAGGCCTCAAAAGATAAAAACCACCGCCCCAAGGCTCACGATGATTGCCGTTCTCATCCTCCTGTCATTCTCCCCAAATGCATGCAGTTTGATGGCATGCTTGTGTCCCCAGGCAGCCTGCCCACATGTGCTGGGCCGAGGACATGAGGTGCTGTGTTTGCCCTCACACTGGCAGCCACACAGCCCCGTGCACATGTGAGGGGCCAGATGGCTCTCATTTACCAACAGGACCATAAAACTTGGATCTGGGTAGATCAACAGAACTACTGTTTGGGCCAAACAGCCAGATTTCATTGTCCCAGTGCAGATGAGGAAAATAGGATCTTTTAAAAATTATAGAACACAGGTAACAAACACAAGGCCCCTGGGCTAAATCTGGCCCTCCACCTTGTTTTATCCGACCCAGCACCTTGTTTCTACCTGGCGGCAGTGCCGAGCTCTGGCTTAACTGTTAAGGAGCAGTTATCCTCATACAGTCCTAAAATTACATTCGGCCCTTTGAAGGCAACTGCGAGGTGGATGTGGCCCCCGGTGAAAATGAGTTTGATACCCCTATGTAGAACCTGTTCTTGGTTTTAGTGGGGAAAAAAAAAGACACCCCCCAACCCCAGCCAACCAACCAAACTAACAAACAATAGAACCTTACCTTAACTTTTTTTCCCCTGCAGGGCTATGCATTATGGTTGGGGTGTCCATCTACACTCATCATTATGCGGGTGGTCAGCAGACCTCCTTCTATCAAAGTCACCACGGCTATTGCTTCATCCTGACCTGGATCTGCTTCTGCTTTAGCTTCATCATTGGCATTCTCTACCTGGTCCTGAGAAAGAAATAAGGCTGAACAAGTTTATGGGGATCTGGGGGGTGGGGAGGAGGAAGCCATGGAATCCGGGAGGGAAGTGAAAGTTGCTCTGCAGGAAAAACCAAGACAGGGGAGGGGGGTGGGGGAGGGACACATAAGGGTAGGAGAGGCTGAAGCCCAAACCGTTACTCAGGAGGTTCTCTATGGTCTGGCCCCTGCCCCTGGGAGAAAGCATTTGGCTAGAACTTCCATGTTCCCTAGATGTGGGCCAGAGAGCCTCTCTCTAGCCGCCAGATCGGCCTCCAGCTGTTCTCAGTTACACACGCCGCCTGGGGCCCCACCAGCTGCCACACCACTGGCTCCACTTCCGAGTGTGAATTCTGGGTCTTGCACTGCAGTCCTCAGACCTGCTGCACCAAGTTGAAATAGCGGTACAAGTTCCAGCAAGGGCAGATACTGTTTTATGTTAAATGTGTTAAGCCTGGAGGCCATCCACCCTCCTGACCCGAAGCAAAACATCACATTCCAGTCTGAAGGGCCCACAGGAGGGCTTTGGCCAGTGAGCCATTATTCTTCTTTAGAACAGATATTTCACTCTGTGAAATTCAGTGGTATTTGTGACAAAATGGTAGGAAGAGATGTAGTCATGAAACCAAGTTGGTAGGTTAATTAAACCAAGAAAGAGAACTGTTCACAGTGAAAGGCCTGGGGCACGGTCAGAGCCCAGACCAGACCTCGCACAGCTATCCCTCATGGAGACCTCTTGCTACGGACTTTGCTAGGCCTCTTGCTTAAAGCCAAGGCGGCTCTTCTGGAGTTTCTGTAAGGCCACTAACAACCAATCCTGTGGCGAAAGTGCCACACAAATTATGGGATCACAAGGCAATCTTGTAACAGTGCTGTATTAAAGTTATGATTTTAGGATTCCCTCCCCATGCAATCAATGTTTCTTTTAAATACATAACAAGAGAAAGACAGATATAGCTCCTTGTAACACAATCTGTTACTCTCCCTCTAAATGACAAACTTTTCAGAACATTTTGTCTCATTACCCACATTGGGGGTCAGGACTCCTAGGCTCAGTGGCAATTCCAGCTTTGACACTGGCTGGAGTGGCCACCTGTCAGAGGACCTGCCTACCCTGCTTCCGAGGTGAGACAGGACAATTCTGGAAGCTTATGGAAACACACACACAAACCCAAACCAAACAGCAAACCCTTGGGTGAGAGGTGCTATGTAACTGCAGAGTGTTAAGCACATTAGGTTTAAGTCATGGGAAGAACAGAGTGCCTCTGTTCCCAGGAAAATAAGAAAAGTTCCGTGAGGTAAATAAAAATATAGGTGATGGGCAGATATTTTCTTTAAGAAAAAAACAAATAAACCAACTCTGGTGGTGCCCAGTCAGATGGTAATTGATCTGTCTGTTGCCACAGAGCGTTTCAATATAGGCCTTAGAAGTAGTATGTTATTCCTGGTTAAGCAGGCAAGGCTCTGGCCTGGAGCAGCTATTTTAAGCCATCTCAGATTCTGCCTAAAGAGTTTATTTTAGGAAGACATTTCCTCTTATCACCCTGAGTGGATCTATGTTAGGGAGAATCTGAGACATCTTGCCTACTTTTTGTCTTCCAGCTCTCTCCTCATCCCATTTCTTATATGCTTTTCCTTTCCGGGGAGTTGTTATGCCATGATTGCTGGTATCTATGTAAAAGGACTCCTGCTAGGTGTACTTCTCTATGTTCATTCTGGTTAAGAGGATATTGAGGGCAGACCACCAAATTCTCTGGGCTGGAGGTAGAGAGGTTGGCAAGCAAAAACTGTGGGATGATAGTTTCAAATTATCATTTGATTATCATGTGATTATAGAAGGCTGTTTGACGTGCAGAAGCATACTTACATATCAGATATATCCAAAGGAGATACTCGCATTATGTTAAAACGTCAAACTATGACTGGAGTGAAACATGTATTCCTTTGTCTTTTACTTTTTTCTGTGCCATTTATGTCTCATGTAATTTGCATTACATCGGTGGGTTGTTCTAGTACTGTATTTGGCTTCTTCTTTCATAGATTGATATTTCATATACTATAATTGTAAATATTTTGATACAAATGTTTATAACTCTAGGGATATAAAAACAGATTCTGATTCCCTTCACCGTGTGGATGCTTTCTTTTGAAAAATTATACGAAAATATGGGTGACAGTGACAATTACTCCTACTTAAGTTGTCAATCAGTTTGATTTGGACAACTTGGCATTTATGCAAGTCTTTGGGCACTTCTGGCAATACATTAGGTATTTCTACAATAACTGTTTCAAGCTGAATGTTATTAAATATAGTTTTATCTTGCTTTAATTAAACTCAAGCACAAAATGGGACTTCATAAGCTACTACATTAGAGGGAGGTTATGATCTTGAATCAGAATGGCTTTTGACATTAAAAAATGAGATACTTGCGAGGTTCCTTTGAAAGAGCCAACTCCTCTAACATGCCTTCAATATATAAAGCAATTCACAACAGTGTGCGACACATACGTTTGCAGGAGCCCATTCATTGCATCAACTGGAGCACATCTGTATGTGCTCTTTGAGGAGAAAGCTTTACTGCTCTCTGTGAGCCGTAAGGACAGGAATCCATGCTAGAAAACAGGGTGGACAGCGGGTGCCCCAGCCCCATATCAATACCAATGTGAGAATGGTTGTCGTGTGAAGTCGGCAATCTTCCAGTCCCCTGTGATCTTGGATAAAATGACTTCACAGAGTAGTACACAAAAAAAAAATACACAAAGGAACCAGAAAATCAAACTTCAACGTATTTTAAATTCAATTAATTAAATTGCATTAACTACTGATACCCTCTCAGAGACCTATGCGATTTCCTAGATTGCTTCTGGGACATTAGTATAAAAGGCTACTCTCCTAGGAATTCTTTACCCCACATCATAGGCGCAGTCACAGATAAGACCTCCAGAGCATACCTTCTTTTCTTCTGCCTACGCGTCTTTAGTTAGAATCTCCATTAAATGACTAACTCTAAGAACTTGAACAGACACTTCTCCAAGGAGGACATACAGAGGATCCAAAGACACATGAAACAATGTTCAATATCGCTAGCTATCAGAGAGATGCAAATTAAAACCACAATGAGATACCACTTCACACCAGTCAGAATGACCATCATAAACAAAGCAACAAACAATAAGTGTTGGAGAGGTTGTGGAGAAAAGGGGACCTTAGTGCACTGCTGGTGGGACTGCAGACTGGTACAACCACTATGGAAAGCAGTATGGAACTTCCTCAGAAAACTAAAAATGGATCTGCCTTTTGACCCAGCAATTCCACTGCTGGGACTATATACTAAGAACACTAAGACACCAATACAAAAGAACCTTTGCACCCCGATGTTCATAGCAGCACAATTTACAATAGCTAAGTGCTGAAAGCAACCTAGATGCCCATCAGTAAATGAATGGATCAAAAAACTATGGTACATTTACACAATGGAATTCTATGCAGCAGAAAGAAAGGAGGAGCTCCTACCCTTTGCAACAGCATGGATGGAGCTGGAAAGCATTATGCTAAGCGAAATAAGCCAGGCGGTGAAAGACAAATATCATATGATCTCACCTTTAACAGGAACCTAAACAATAAAACAAATAAACAAGCAAAATATAGTCTAAGACATTGAAATGGAGGATGGGCTGACAGTGACCAGAGGGAAGAGAAGAAGGAATTTCAGGGGAGAATGGGAAGGGTTTACAGGAACAAATTTAAAGGACACATGGACAAAAACTAGGGGGAGGGTGGTAATGGGAGGGAAGTGGGGAGGGATGGGTGGACGGGCTGGAATGGAAGTAAAAGGGAGAAAACTGTACTTGAACAATGATTAAAAATAAAAAAGACTAACTCTACCCAAATTGACAGGCCCTGCCAGCATGGAATCTCCAGCTCAAAGACCTGGGTGGTGCATGGGGGTGTATTAATTGGGATTCCCAAGAGAAACAACCAACAGTATTTGTGTGCGCATGTAAAGAAATTTACTTTAAGGAATTTGGTCACATGATTATGGGGGCAGGCAAGTCCAAAACCTGCAGTGGGAGGGGAGCTGGCAGGCTAGAGATCCAGAGGAGAGCCTATGCCTTGGTTCAAGTCCAAGGGCTGTCTGCTAGCAGACTGTCCCTTGTTTAGGGAAGTCAGTCTTTTGTCCTAATCAGGCTTTCAACTGATTGAATGAGGTCTGCCACATTATAGGAGACAACATGTTTTACTTAAAGTCCACTGATTTAAATGTTAATCCTACCCAAAATGCCCTCACAGAAACATCCAGAATAACATTTGACCATGTATCTGGGCACCATGACCTGGTTAAGTTGACACATCAAGTTAACCATCATGGTGGGGGAAGCATCCTTATAAAGGATAAGAAGACACTGACTTACTAAATAATTTCAGAAATAATTTAGAAGAACCTTAAGCAGTAATTAGAGTTGACACTTAGCTTTTTTAATGGTGACATAATACATAGGGGTCAACCTGCCAGGTGATCTTAGACATTCTGATGGAAAATTATCAGAGTCTCTTCTATAGGAGCATAATAACTATTTGTTGAATTAAATGCCTTCGGAAAAATCAAATCAAATTGAATATCGAAGGATTTAATTATTAATTAAACAGTCCTAGAAGAAACTGTTCCAGATTATGAGAATAGGGAAGGTGAGCTATGGAGCCCTGGGTCGCCGCTCCAGAATGGGACCTATGGGCAAATGACAACTCCTTTATTCATCTGAATGATAAACTTTAGGTACCAAATGGTTAACAGACAGCTTTGCCACTCTGCTCTGGACCCAGCCATGACCATCCCTGTGTAAAAGAAAGCCATCTACTGGCTTTCAGGCACAGAAAAGAAATATTTCAGAAAGGCCTGGAAAGAAGGCATATGGCGACTAAGAGAATACTGTGCAGGGCTCCACACTTAAACAAAAAGGGAAGCTGTCTCCCATGCTTAGTGAGAAATAGCCACAATACACCAAAAATTCTCAGCAAGAATGTAAGGAGAAGGCAACAAAAGTTATAAGCTTGGACACTGGGCAGCTGGCCAGGCTGTTAGTGAAACAGGAAAGCTGGAGGAAGGATTAACTTTAGGGGGAAGATGACAAACTTAGATCTGAATATGCTAAGTATCAGAGCCAGCTGGACATTTAGGGAGCCCCTCCCATCCCCTTCCTTTTCAACTCTAAAGAGGTCCTAGGATAATCTTGAAGCGTTCTCTTCCAGAGTGGTCCTGGGAGTCCCCAAGGCACCCAAAATACACACCCTGAAGAGGCTGCATATTTTCTACGTTTAAACTCCCGATAGCTAAGCTTTTCTGGGCACATCCATCATTCTGAGTCAACTCACTCGGGACTAACCCTTCTTATATCTGTTTTAATTCAGCTGTCTTCTTGTTTTAAATTTTACTTTTAAATTGTTTTATGGCCCAATTTAGCTGACTCAAATTAACATCATAGTTTCTCTTCATGTCAGCTCCAATCCGGTCACGTCGCCCTGTGGGAACAAGGCGTTGGGGTGGCGTGGGCATGGAGGGGTGACGAGGGAGCAGGGCGTGGGTCTGGGTCACACTGGAGTTCTCATTTGGTATCTCATAAAACTTCTCATTAAAATATCTGATTTGTTTGAATTTTTTTTGAAAAATGCTGCTTTTAACTAACTTTTGCTTTTGAACATTTTTAACATCTGCTTTTGTTTTAAAAGTAATTGTTTTCCTTCTTAAAAGACATCTTTTCCTTTTGTTAAACTTTCTTACCCTCAAAATGGAGACTTTTTTTTGGGCAAACTATTCTGATGCTAAGCCTCCGAACATCCATCTCACCAGTGAGAGAGATCTGGAACAGTGCCTGGACACAGACAGACGTGACCTGGCGTGGACACTAGTCAGATGCCATTATGAAAAGCTCATGTGATACTAGGGTGTATAAAGAAATAGAAAGACAAAGAACAAGAATTTCTCTATATTCTAAACTGGCCAGATTACAGTCTGGATGAGAGGACTGTGTTCAGTGTCGGTCACCATGGTTCAAAGGGATGTGAAGAAATTGGAGCAACAAAGATGGTTGAAACATTGGAAAATAGGTCCCAGAGTGAAAGATGAAAAGATTTTTGATGTGGGAAGATTGCAGAATGGGAAACTAAGGTGAGACATGGTTCTGGAAGGTTTGTATAAGGCGAGGGATGGTTAATGAAAAGATACAACACTAGAATGCATGATGGAGGAAGACTGTGAGCAAACCTAAGAAAAAATGCTCTATCTGGGATAATTTAAACCATAGTCCACCTTTGACCCTTTCCTGTACTCAGCAGATATTACTAATTAATCACAACACTCTTTTTCAGAGTTTAGGCCAACTCTCAAAATCCTCCACTTGGAATTCCAGGCAACCTCTATCAGTCCTTTGAAAATTTTGTGTAAGAAGAAACCCATTTGCTATGCTAGGTTTAGATATTCTATTTTCTGAGGGCTTGAGGTTTTACCAGATGATTTCTTAAAGCTCTTTTTCAGGACCATGATTCTACTAATTCATGTGGTTAAATGAGTTTCATGAGGAAGGAACTTAATATACAGATGATAATGGATCTTGGCCCTTTGAGCCAACTGGACATCTTTAGAACGCTTGTAGTGAAGGAACTGGGGATTTTGCTGCTTATTTTATCGCATAAAGTTTAGCTGTCCTTTCAAACAAGCTCTTCACAGACATCCTAGAAAGTCTCATAAAGCTAACAAAAAAAAGTCTTACACTGCTTGAGCAAAAAGAAATATATGGATGGTGCTAGTTGTAAGGGAAGTGCTTCTACCAGGATCCTCTCTTTAAAATGCACTATTTGGTCCAGAAGAAGAAAATTGGCTCTCAGTTGACCTTGAATGCTGATTGGCTAAGGAAAGGCATCGTGGTGTGCTAATGAAGGTAACTGAAACCTCTGCCTTTACTGTGGCTCTTATGTGTTTTTATGAACAAAGCTGATGAACAGTGCTTTTCTGACATGAGTCTCTGGGTGGTAAACAGTGACGAAGGGCAGATCAGGAAGCTGAGGGCAGAAATCAATACTTGCTGTTACGCTGTAGTAAATTAAGAGAAGGGTTGGACCACACAGAGAGATGT